TGAATGGCCCCACCCCAGGATGGAGCACTTCCAGATTTCTCCCCAGCAGTGACCTCCTGAAGTCCCACTTTCTCTAACAAACCCTTCCTACTGAAAACCTCATACACCACACACTTACAATAAGCATAATTCACCCTAGGCTTGTCTTTTGCTATGTGTACATATAAATTCATTTGTCCCTGTTACGCTTTCCATCTCAAGCCCTGGAAAACAAAGACCATGTCAGACATGTTATTCTCCCAGAATCTAACCAGTAGCTTCCCGAGGCTACAACAGTAAATCCTGTTTACTGCTGACACTGACTAGCTTGGAAGAGAAATACATGCTTTTTAACAGAAGCCTTTCTGAAAGGGTCCCTCACAATCCACCTTAAGGTCAGTACGTGTACAGATCAGTGTATGCCTGTCAATACTGGTATGTACCAAAACAAGCACCCCCATTGCTGTCCAGTCGATCTGACTCATGGTGACCCTACAGGACAGAGGAGAACTGCCCTATAGGGTTTCCAAGGCTGTAATCTTTACAGAAATAGACCACCTCATCTTTGTACTGTGGAACGGTTGGTGGGTTTGAACCACCAACCTTTCAGTTAGCAACCAAGCTGCTTAACCACTGCACTAAAGGCCCAAAGGTGTTGTCACCAAAACAACTGCACCTGTCTGTAACCAGAAACAAAGAAAGAGGAAATGTTACCAGAAACCCCTAAGACATTTATTAGAAACAAGACCCATTTCTTAAGACTTTTGTTCAGGATGATCGCAGATGGTGATCAACATCTACTGGAGCCTAGTTCACACAGAAGAGCATAATTTCCCGTGTCACTTTATATTAATATTCTTGGGGATTTGTGGGGTTTTTTTTTCTTCACTGTTAAAGAAAACCAGCACCTCAGCATAAAATTATTTCACAGATGCCAAGGCACTGGTGTTTTAAGAATTGCTATGGTGGTACAGTGGTTAAAGCACTCAGCTGCGAACCAAAAGGTCAGCAGTTTGAACCCACCAGTCGCTCGCTCTGTGGCCAAAAGATGAAGCAGTCTGCTTCCATAAAGATTTACAGCCTTGGAAACCCTGTGGGGCAGTTCTCCTCTGTCCTATAGTGTCGCCTGATGGCAGTGGGTTTGGTTTGGATTCCAAGCTAGAGTCCTGCACTGGGATTACTGGGTTTATCATACACTTGGGGCCCCATCCTCCTTTTCCTTCAACACTATACTTCTGAAGAGCAGACAAACACCACACTGAACACCAGCAATCTACTGGGCTCCTTTGTGGCATAGACTAGGAAGCTGACCACAAGGAAAACTAGATGCAGGTGTTCTTAGAGGGCCAGGTTTAGGGAATAACTAGGAAGAAACTGTCATGGGAAGGAAGGAAGGGAAAAGGAGGTCACCTGTGCCCCAGGGCTCACAGGCCAGGCCCTGCTGCCACAATGGTCCTTCCGAGAGCTCCCCACGTGCAGGACTGGCTAGAGGGGCCACATGGCTGCCCAACTCTGCTGGTTCCACCTCCACCTAGATCAAAACGCAGCCACAGTACCCTTGGCGCCTGGGGGGCAGTTTATGTTACTGGGGAAGGGACAACTCAGAAAAGAGCTGAGAATGCCTGCACAACTTAAAGGGTGTCACCAGCGTCCCTGACTTGTACACGGAGAAAGTGCTGAACTGGTGTGTGTTCTGCTGTGAATATGCTCAACAGCAGCAACAAAACAAATACAACTTATTACATAAAAAAAAAATGTTAAACAGCAGCCACAGGAAAGGATTGTGCTTTCCAAAATTATGCTTTGGCACTGAGGAAAGGGGAAAAAATGCAACAATAGGGTTTTCTTTGAATTTTCAGTACCAAAGCAGCAGCATTAGAAGTTACTTTGTAACTGAGAAACACTGACAATAAGAGGCACTCCTGAGGTCATCCAGAATGATGGAGACAGAAAATCAGTTTCACATACTTAGAAACAGAGAAGAGATACAGGGACACCCCAAGTGCCACTATAGGTTGGTCACCAGGCATGGACTCCCTAGTTCCCAGCCCTGGGTTCCTTCCTCTACACCATACAGACCCTAAGAGCTAAAAGTTTCAGCTTTTGGAATGATAGTCCATTACACCCACATCTCACACAGTACACGTGAACCTGTCAGTTATACAAGTCTATAGCCCTAATATCAACCTTATATATTTCCATTAGCCATCACTGGGCTTGGTTCACATCTATGTCCTTGAAAACAACTGTTTGAGGAGCAAAGCCCCACAAACAGCATTACAGCCTGAGAAAGACCCTCAAGTCTCCTCCCAAACGAAATGCTTCATCTGAACATGATGATTCTTAAAGTAACTTATTTTATCCCAATTCCTATAAGGGTAAACAGCAAACAATAAAATATATGAATTGTTGGCCACTTTATGGAAGTGAAGATGGCCACTTTATGGAAGTGAAGACCAAATCGTAAGATCCAGCCAGCTGTGGCATGTGAGTCCCTCTAAAGATATGCATGGATTCAAAGACTCCCAAACAAACAAAGGTTTGTTACCCCACAGACAGACTCAGACCCTTTAGTGGATGGGAGGTGTGAAGTGAACTGTCTGAACTCAGAGGAAAATGAACTATCAAAAGTCTAAATCAGGCTACATATCTGGCTTGCTCCATTTCTCTGAATGAAGGAATGTCTTAAATGTATCCCTCCGTCTATAAAAGGGGGAGGAACAGCTCTTTAAAACTATAAAACAGATTATGGTTTCCTACTGTCCAAGCCTGGTTTTCAGGCTGTGGCTGTCTTCTCAGCTGGCCCCCAGATGGCCCCTATAAAATCTCTGCTGAAAAGCCAGGCTTCTCAATGCTCCTTAGTGTTGGTGAAGAGATAAACTAAAAAGCAGTGGAAACACATACAGCAATAGGATGCACACTATAATAGTATATATGTGTACATACATAGACGAAGTGAACACTGGATGATGTTCAATCTTTGTGGCACAACCATAACTGTGCAGTATTTACAATTTCTGAATTTATAATGTTAAAAGTAAATAACTGTTCACGTGATTCTTCAAAGAGACTAGATAAGACCTTTCTAAACCAACTAATACGATTTGGGGTTAGTTTTTTAAAAAAGGCAGTGGACACCAAATGCTCCCGTCATGAAGTTCAACCTGTGACCCCTTGGATCACCACTAGGAACAGCTGTAATTGTCTCGGATGCTCATTTTCCACTCAAAGCAATTTCCTCAGCAGAAACGCTCATGTGTCCAAGCAGAATAAAAATGTTCAACATAAAAAAAAATTGTCCTTAGATTTTTATCGATAACTTCGCCAATAAACTTGCCGGAAAACACTTAATGCATCTTGTTCTCTAAAAACATCTCCCCACTTCTGTAGTGAGATGGCTGTGTTGTGTAACATCACATCAGTGCAACCAAAAAGTAAAAATGAGATGTTTCAAAAAAACTCTTATCAGGGGAAGCAGTACTTCACCACTCCAACCACTTTCAGAGACACAAGGCCCACGATGATGTGCTCATACCCCTGCTGGGCATGGCTCAGATGGGGGCACGGGATCGTCCCACTTCCCTAGTGGTTTCAGCAGAGTGGAAACAGCTGTAACGCAAGTCAACATCTGCATCCTCACCTAGCTCTGAGCCCTCAGCATTAAGAGTTCAGGATTCAGCAAACGTACCTTCCTCCTAACACTCACTCACTCACCCACTGCCACCGAGTCAATTCTGACTCACAGTGACCCCCCCACTGGGTGTCTGAGGTTGTAAATCTTTACAGAAGTAGATCGCCCCATCTTCCTCCCATGGAGCACCTGGTGGGTTTGAACTGCTGACCTTCTGGTTAGCAGCCAAATGCCTTAACCACTACAACACCAGAGCTCCTTTTTCTTCCAAAAGCTAACTGTAGATAACAACTCTTCCCGGCTCTCTTCAGAGCCTCCCCCCACTCCATTATTTGTAACTCTGGGATTAAAGGAACTGTAATAAAAAAAAAACACCTCCCTTCCATCAAGTCAATTTCCACTCATAGCGACCCCCAATGGGTTTCTAAGGCAGTAAATCTTTACAGAAGTAGATTGCCCCATCTTCCTTCTGTAGAGCAGCTGGTGAGTTTGAACTGACAACCTTCTGGTTAGCAGTTAAATGCCTTAGGCACTATGCCACCAAAGAACAGTCAGCAAACACACTAAACTCCTAACTTATTTCCCATCTTACAGGTGGCTCTCTGAGAGGATAAAGTAGGGCTCTAGAAGGGATCAAGTAGGGTTCTTGGAAGCCCACTGAAGTTGAAGTACACATAGGTCCACTTTCAGCGACTGTTGTTGTTGTCTGCCGTCGAGTCGGACCCGACTCATAGCGACCCCTCCTTGGGTTGCCGAGGCAGTATCACTACCGAAGAAGATTGCCCAACCTTCCTTAAGAGCCTTTATTTCTACCTCTTATCACAGTTAAAGTTCTATGCCAAGGCTTATTATGCCCAGACTCAAAATTGGTATCGTTTCAGAAAATTTTCTTGTGTTCTTGTCCCATTTACCTTTCAAAAAAACCCAGTAAGTCTCAGTCCCCATGATTTGGGGGGGGAAAAAGAGAGAGAGGGAAAAAAAACGTATTTTACAAAATTCTACCATTTGAAAACATATGGATCCTAATTGGGGATCCAGAACTGTTGTAAAAGCTGCACTCCAAAAGAAAAGCTTTTGGGAAAAGTGGATGACTACTAACCAAATCTTAAAATCCCATGCCTGCCCATGCTCACGTCATCATCATCCTAACGTCTTTCCTCCATAGGCGGCACACCCAGAACAGAGTTCACCATCCTGTTTGATGATTCTGTCAGAGAAAAGCTGATGTGATAGCTGGGCATGGAGGACTCAACCTCAATTACATCAGAGTGATGGTCCCAGCAGTTCCAGAATTCTCAGTAAACGATCAACCTCTAAAGTCAATGCCTTATGGAGAAAACACAGAGATTACTAGAAGGTGCCTAACCCAACACAAAGTCAACATACTTACCTTGTGCAAAGGAAGCACAAGGAATGCTCCTCCCCCACTCGCTTCTATGATTATGGCAACAAATCTGGGATTGACAGCACAGAAGGAACTGTCCCAGGTCACACGAGAAACCCGGATGTCGTCGTAACACTGGTCATTTTTCACCGCTTGCCCAAATACATGCCGGAACTTGCTCTGTCGTACCACTCGCCTCATGGTGTCTGCAGAAGAAAAGCAGGGGTTCTGTTAGAGCTGCACTGAGCTGTGAGTGTTACTTTCACAAAACGAAAAGCTGCAAGGAGGAAAAACAGAACGGCATGGCATTCGGTCTGCTCTCTTACAATGCAGCCAAATGGCAAATCCAAATTTCCTCTACCCAGAGAAAAAGTGCAAAATGCGTCAGGGAAAGAATTACAAATAAATGAAGAATTCCTAATTCGGGATCCAGAGCAGCTCATCAGTTTTCATTTTGGGAGAAAGATCATGGGACAGAATGACGGAAATCCAGCCTGTGGGGCTGGGTGGGAACAGAAAGAAAATTCACCCCAACCCCCTGCTTTAAAGATAAGAAAATGCCAAACTTAAGTGATCAGATTGATGTGAAGCTGAAGAAAGCACAACACCAAGTTATGATTCCGTGGCTTTTTCCTCAGCTGCCAAGGTAATTTTTCACTTCTTAAACCTTTTCCCCAGACTTCAGCACTCTGCCTACTCACCCAAGTATTTCCACAAGGCCGACTATGCATAGTGGGGGACTCGAGACACCAGCAACTGCTCTTGTCACGACTCTTCCAAATCCCTTCTAACAGACCTAATCATCAAAGCTGCTCAGTACCAGGTGCTTGGCACTGTGCGCTACAAGCCAGAAACAGGAAAAGTCAGCCTGGGCTAAGGCAGCTAAAGAGGTCAAGAGCCAGGTCTTGGAAAAGACTAGTAACTACCGAAACAGAAAGTAATATGATGAGAGCAAAGTTTAGGATGATAATCCTCCTGGCAGAGGCACAATGCATGGATTAGACAGGAAGAACCTAAAAGCCAGGCTAAAAAGTCCTAACAGTAAAGGAAAAATTGAGGGACTATTCTGGAGGGGGTTAAAGTCAGGATAGGTATACATTCACCACAGCCCAGCCCCTAGTAAATCAGGAGGCTTGGAGAAGAGGAGGAGACACAGAGCTGGTGTCCTTGAGCTTCCTCATGGGTCATTTAGACCCCAAAATCCACTGTTGTTGCTGTTGTTACGTGCCATCAAGTCGGACCCGACTCATAGTGACCCATCCTTGGGTTTCCAAAGCAGTATCACTATGGAAGTAGATTGCTCAACCTTCCTTCCAAGGAGTGGCTGGTGGGTTTGAACTGCCAGCCTTCTGGTTAGCAGTCAAGTGCCT